TGCATGGACTCACAAATCGGATCTGAACAGTTGCGATACACAGTTTGGAAATCATTTTAGATCAGATTCCAATCGGACACAAATATAATCGGATTTGGAATGACAGTGTGTAGCCATTGTAAATACGTTAACATTTTAGCCATAGTCAAAGCTTAATTTACGTTACACATGTGGCTGATGCTGTGCCTCTCTCAACCACAAACGCCTTCTTTCATCATTTTTTGCACTCTTCTCTTTTGGCAGTCTATAGAACTCGAAAGGTATTTTCCCCATGCGACCGATTAGTACAGACCAAAACTCACCATTTTTCAGCAGAAATAATCAGCCAAATTTGCGAGTCCGTTCAGTTCAATGGCATTGTTTATGTTCTGTGCCTCCAAAATGGCCGACTTCCGGATTGATGACGCGTCGTGAAAACCCTTTTAAAGGGTTTTCACGACGCGTCATCAATCCGAAAGTCGGCCAAAGCGAGTAAGTTACATCTGACTGTCTGTACAAACTGGAGTACAAATAATCAATTGCATATTATTTTACTTGATATGTGACTTTAAAATTAGTAAAATTAAATTAAAGTTTAGTAAAATCGTCAATAACTTTTTTTTTTCAGTTTGTCAATGACAACAGAGACTTTTACTAGGATTTTATCTTTGACTTTTATTATAGACGGTTATCCCGGACTTTTATTGTGAAAACAAGCTTCCGGTCACCCAAACGCGCAGATCGGTGGTTAGCTGTAGAAGGAGGCAGATCATTTCTCATCAGCGTGTTCCTGTTAAGCTGACAAAACGTCTTACGCAATGAGGTTCGAATTGTTTTATTCTTTTTAAAAAAATAAGATATCAACTGCTTTACTAATTTACAAACCGAGGTTCATCAAATCGACGAATTTTTTATTGTTATGTTGATGCTATGCTAGCCCGGTGCCTGTTAGCATGTTGCTCTGCTAGCCGTGGTGTGCATTTTATGGATAACATAAATGGGAAATATTTACTATTTGCGTGCTTGCATTAAAACTGAGTAATGATGCACTTGTATTTAACTCCTATTAGGTTGTCGTTTGTAAAACTCTCTGTATTCCTATATCAAGTAAATGTTCGTTAACACATTCATGAACGAACGAATGAATGTAGAAACGAGCATTCACGTGAACAATGATGCTCATTTTTACCTGTGATTGTGTTTTTTCCCCCCAACAGTTTAAAAAACAGATTAGCTCATTTGACTACATTTTGAGATTTTGCTGGATGATTTAAATTGTATTTATTTATTTTTTGTTAAAAAGAATAGCATTCGTGTGTTTCCCTTTATTGAATTAGCCTACTGTTTTTGTGTTTCTTAGAGGAGATCGTGGCAGGGGCCGAGGTGGCCGATTCGGCTCCCGCGGAGGTTTGGTCCAAGGGTGAGTGTTTTTATTTATTTTTATGCGTTTATGTTTTATTTGCTGACTAAGTTAAGTTTATATTGGTCTAACATTCCATATCATTGTTTTCACAGGTATCGGCCCTTTGTTCCTCACATACCATTTGACTTCTATGTTGTAAGTGCATTTCTACATTGATTCTTTGCATTGTGAAGCTGATCCTTTACGCCTCCAGCTCATGAACCGCTTTTTACAGTGTGAGATGGCCTTTCCTCGAGTGAAGCCGGCTCCTGACGAGACTGCTTTCAGTGAGTGTCTGCTGAAGAGGAACCAAGATCTTTCTCCTAACCCTTCTGAACAGGTACAATGATTTTTTAAAGGAGTAGTTCACTTAAAAAAAAAAAAAAAAACTTCTATATTTCTTGCTGATAATTAAAACTTATTTTAATTATCAGCAAAATTTATTTTATTTTTTTTTAAAGTGAACTACTACTTCAATAAATATGTATGCTAATTATTATTTGATTTACTTTAAATATTTTGGCCTTATGATTTTTTTTTTTCTGTTGCAGGCCTCCATTTTGTCCTTGGTCACTAAGATTAACAATGTCATTGACAACCTAATCGTGGCACCAGGAAACTTTGAAGTGGTAAGAAAGCAAAGGCACTCAATAAGTCAATCTTAATTTCCCCCTCCCCCAAATTACTTTTGTAGAATAAATGTTTAATGTCTTACAATCCCCCCCGTAGCAAATTGAGGAAGTAAGACAAGTGGGATCGTATAAAAAGGGCACCATGACGACAGGACACAACGTAGCTGACCTTGTGGTTATCCTGAAGATCTTACCCACCTGTGAGTATCATTTCATGAGTTTTATTACGTTTAGTTGTAGATGTGGGTCACTTCTATCCCAAGAAAGCTTTGTTTATTGATAATCCTGTTTTTTTCCCTCCTGTTTATTTGTTTAGTGGAAGCTGTCGCTGCTTTGGGAAACAAAGTAGTTGATACCCTGCGCACACAGGACCCTTCTGAGGGTGAGTATTGGTTTTAATTTGGCAAGCTGTTAAGGAAAAAAAAACATATTTGTAATCAAAATGGGGGAAAATCGTACTACTTTGCCTGCATTTTCAATGAAATTTGTTCCTCTTCTCTTCAGTACTGTCCATGCTGACCAACGAAACAGGTTTTGAGATCAGCTCTGCTGATGCCACGGTAAAAATCCTCATCACCACGGTTCCACCCAACCTGCGCAAACTGGACCCAGAGCTTCATTGTAAGTCACACTCTCAAACACTACAGCTGTTAGTTTGATCAGTTTTTCTTACAAATTAGCTTTCTGGGGATCTACAATGTTTCGCCATGCTGCTATTTTTTATTTCTCAATATTGTATATTTAATTCAAATATTCAATATATTTAATATTTCATTTAAAACGCTGGTTTTAGCCTATTTTCTTGATTAGATTACTTTTGTCTAATGCAAAATAATAATTTAACAACACTAACTGTTACCGTTATCAAATCTCAAAACAAATATCCAGTTATTGTAGTAATGCCTACCTTCATTGTCATTAAATGTATTGGTTGTGTGGTGTTTATTTATTTAGACTTCATTGTGCAGAATTTTAAAGG